CTATTAAAGAGAAAAAGATCGGATCGATGGTGCGCCGGAGAGAGACAGAGAGAGAGAGAGAGAGAGAGAGAGAGAGAGAGAGAGAGAGAGAGAGAGAGAGAGAGAGAGAGAGAGAGTCGTTTTTTCGCTGTGTGAGTGTAGCTTCGTTTCTCTCTCTCTCTCTCTCTCTCTCTCTCTCTCTCTCTCTATCTCTTCAATCGGGAGTTGTGTATTTGCAGGAGTAATAAACGGGTAATTCGAACACGTAAAAAGATAAATTATTCCCGACAATGGGCATGAATTAATTAATTTGTTTTCCACGCAATGATTTTAATTAATTGCTAAATATATTTGATTTAAATGGAGCAACTTCCACTTCTTGAAATTGTGCATAGCGGGAATTCCCCCTATTATTTCCATCGGTTGCAACGGACTGTGAAAATTGCCGTCGAGCAGGCACGTGTTGATGTTTCTCTTTTTTTGTAAAGGCTACATTTAGCAGCTGAGATAACAAAGACGTCGACGTTACGGTCCGATTTGACGCGTTCATATCATTATTTAGCCGGTAAATCGGTTTACTCGTATTACTTACGAGGCAAAGTTTATTTCTATAATTTCTAGCATTTAATAAAAGTTCGAGAGTCATGTTAGACGATATGCACCACAGAGACTCTCTTTGAAATGCGACGGCAGTACTTGAAACTCAGTTTAAGGGAGAAAGAAATTTCGCGAACTCGACTTTCAGCGAAGGTTAACGGGCACGTGCTTCTCTCGTTCGAATGCAGTTGTAATGAGACTCTCCCGTAGTTTCTCGTCCAATAATTTTCCTCCTATAGAAATTAAGTACCGAAAAGGGAAATCTGATATTACACTATTCCGGGGTGGCGCGTCTTCAGACGAGCTCGCGTGTACTGGTAATCCTAGAGTCTCCGGTTTCTTGAAACGAATTGTACCCGATCGTGTTTTGATCTGCTCGGTCGCGAATTCAATTTGCAATATCATTTCCGACAGGTGGATTAAAATCATAACTTCTGCAAAGGATTTCTCGTAGGGGAGTCACTGATCGAAAACGCGATCGAGTCGCGATGCTCTCGCAATTTCTCGTGCGCGCAATTATAATTTCTATCGTAGTTTTAATCCGACAGACAAATGTAAATTTCCAAAATTATTTTGCGGTGCACGAGTTGCATTGTCCATTAATTATGCCCGCGAGCGCAATACTAATTATATAATTCTGGGAAAGCCGCCTGATACGTTTGTGCCGGCTGTCGCCGTAATAATGACGTTAAGGGCTTTTGATTGCTTAGGGAACACGAATGAGAGTGTCTTTCGAAATCGACGATGAATTCTCGTCGAAACGTCGCGGGTCGATATGCTGATTGGGGGGATCTTGATTGGAGGGATGCGTGACACCGTACGATATTGAACTTGGCGTCTGGGTAGTCGAGAAGATCCATTAGCCTTCACAGCGTCGCTGTTCGAAGATGTGTGGTGTTGATAATACAACCGCGAATGCAATGGTGAAAGGTTTTCCAGCGTATCGAAGCGTGTGTGCAGTTGATCAGATAAGGCTGCCAAGCCTATCTTGCGCCGTATTTCCATAATCTGTGCATTGATAGCAATTGAAGGCACATGCTACGATTGATGGGATCGATAATAATTGCAATAGATAATGATTGCAATATGTCACGACCGTTAGAAATGGCTGGTCGTGAGAGGGAGGAAGAGAGATAGAGGAGCATCGCGGTAGGTAGCGGAACTGCAATATCGTGTGTGTATTTTTAATAAGATTACAATTCAGCCGATAGTAGAAAATACCATATCATCGCGTGTATTATCGCGAGATGACGTGACTCTCTAACGAGGAAAAGAGAAAAAGTAACGTCGGGCTTTTCAACAGAGGATCATTTTTCGATAATTATGAACTTGGCTGGAATTTAAAAACGCGCGGAAGACAGCGGAGCATCAAGCACGTAATTTACGGAAGCTCGGGAAAAAATTTTTGAATGCCGGGACGTTGTCACTCGCGTTATCTGGACGCTTTGAAACTGTATGTAACATGCGCGGGAGGAAGTAGGCTGTCGCCAACGATTAACGTGAAATCGCTCTTTCTAAGAGCGAAATTAATGTTAAGACGATTTAATTTGCAAAAGTAAGTCATATTCTCGGCGCTTCGCCACACGGAATGATATTTTGGCGGAAATTGCGGTAGAAATAGTTTCCACTTCCATTTCATTTTTTTTTCCCTCCGTTTTCTGTTTCCTTCTCTCTCTCTCTCTCTCTCTCTCTCTCTCTCTCTCTCTCTCTCTTTCTCTGTCTTTGTATTTTTAGTAGCACAAAGCACATTTTATCTTCTGTCTTCTTTTTTTCTCTTTCTCCTCGCAATTTACACCGACAGCTGCGCGGGAAGTCGAAAGGAAAATTCATATGGTCGGCATAATGCTGAAACCCCTGAAAATCACATGGAATAATTTGGCGTCTGGCACGACGTGCTCCGACGAGCTACGAGGGGTGTGAAATTGCGACTTCGCGCATCACATATCTGTCCGTATATGAAGGATCCAACACGCACATCAAGAAGCACTTCGTATTAATAATCCGTTTTCGGAGAAAACCCTTGTCGAATGAATGCGTGTATGATTTCGTGTGTTTTATTAATCATGGACCGTGGGGGAGTCGGACCTCCGAACACACATGAAACTCCGATATATAAATCGGCAAGGCCTAAAAATAGAGGAAGAAACTTTTGTGGAATCTTTTATACGAAGATGCACTACGTTCGAGTTCGAGTTTATTACGATGATTAAGTTACATTAAACGGAGTTTGCTGAATTAAAAGTGCAGCCTTAGCGCGATATTACGGCCTCTCGACCGGACGAGGGTGAAGTATTATAACTTTCGCAATAAAGTAAACTCCAATCGGTCAGATCTCTCGAACTTTTAACGTTATTCCCGGTTACCACAATTTTTTTAATGATATGCACTCGTGACGTAGAGCGAAGGTACGCGTGATCGATATGTTTATTCGAGTTGTCCTTGGACATAACAGATTCGGATGTCTCGACGGAGAACGGAAAGTCGATCGAGATCGACTTCAATCGACCATCGATTGAAATGGTCGATTTGACATGCGATTGTATGTAAAATGGAAAGAACGTAGCAGTCATAACCCACTTATCTCGAATGTCACTCATGCAAGGGATGACAATGAGTCTCGCAAGGAAAAGAGAGGAAAGGGGGGGGGGGCAACCTTGTTGCAGACTTGTGATCTCGCGCTATCAACTTTACGGGGGAAACGTAACGCGCGTCGAGACCTTAATTGCCAGTTTATTCATTAGCGACAGTTGTTGAGTTACCAGCGAGCGCGCGGATATCGTAGCCGTGCGTGAATCTCGCGTTACCGCGAGCAACGCGCTCGCGTTCGAGAGTTTCGAGCTCGTTCGAGAGCAACTTTTCCATTGTCGTTTGCAGCGAGCCGCCGCTATACCGAGGATGAAAATATTTTTACGCGATTACGTTGGGGTGGTTCTCGCGTATGCTGGAGGGTGCGACCAGCGCGGCTCAATGCGACCGCAGCGTTGAGCGTCAACTTCTGGAAACAAACGCGCGAATTGAATATTCGCGCCGGCTATTGTACGCTAAGCCGTTGTGAAACGACGGGTCGGGGGAAGATAATGGATGACCGTTGCTAAAGAGACTGCGAGTGGAAGTCGGTAATCTGTCAGACTGACGTTGATCGTTGGAGAATGAGAGTTAGTCAGGTTGAAGACAGAAATGGTGGTTTCTCGCGTCTCGTTATGTATACGTCATATGTTTGAGACGTATTTTAATTAATAGTCGAGTTTCTCTTCCTTTTCCTCCTTTTTTAAGATATTACATGTCCGATTAAACTTTCGCCCTCGAGGCGAGTCGGATTCGTCATAAAAAGAGAGAAAGAGAGAGAAGGAGAGAGAGAGAGAGAGAGAGAGAGAGAGAGAGAGAGAGAGAGAGAAGAGAGAAAGAAAGGAGAAAATTGTTAAATTGGAAAATTGGTCAGAAGGGCCTATCCGCGGAGAACCAAATTTGACAAAAGAACGAATTTGACGTCTATTTTAGAATTTTGCCGCACACCAAGCATATGACTACGCGATTAAGTTCCGTCGCAAAATCCATCTTCGTCGCGTCGGCTGCGGCGAACGCTTCATGGAGTACCATTGACTGCGAAACAGTAGCTGTAAAAATAACGCGATATTATTCAAGAGTCGCGTTACGTATACCCACGCACGCACGCTCTCTTCTCTTTTTCTCTCTTTTTCTCTTTTCTCTCTTTTTCTCTTTTCTCTCTCTCTCTCTCTCTCTCTCTCTCTCTCCTCGTCGCGCACTTCGAGAAAGATGAATCGTTAGCAATTCTGAGAATGAAGGACACCGGTCAGAGGTTTAATTACTTCGACTCGAGTTTGAAAGTGCAGACTAATTAGGTGGGTAAGCCGAGGCAGAAAGCTATCCTCTCGAAATCCTATTTGATCTCGATGAATAAAGCTTACAAAATGATGTAGTGCGGAAGCTTTTCTTTGCAAATCAAGCACACGTTTCGGTGACCTTCTTTGATGAGGGGAGGGTCGAAGAGGTCAAAGCGTGACCAAAGCACCATTTCGGTTAATTCGCCGTGAATTTAAAGTCCGGGCTTTCGACTGGCGAGAAAATAAAGACAGATGACACTCTCGCCCGTCGATCGCTTTTATCCGAGCAATTCGATTGCGCGGCCAAACGTTACAAAGAGAGAGAGAGAGAGAGAGAGAGAGAGAGAGAGAGAGAGAGAGAGAGAGAGAGAGAGAGAGAGAGAGAGAGAAAGAAAGCATTGCGGCTGGGAAATAAAATTAGACGGTCTCGCGAGCGCGTGCTGTGCCGACGCGACGAGATTTAGCGATCTGAATAATAATTCGTCGGACGACGTATAATCACGTTCCCTGCGTCTCCGCGAAAGGTCCGCCAATGTTGCGAGCGTATTACGCGATGGTTGTTGCCGCGAACGATGATTTACG